AGACAGTGAAAAGAGTGTTACACTCTCGTTACTTAACGGACTCTGGCAAGATAAAAGTCGAATCCCATGTTTTGGAGGAGGGCGAGATAGACTATGAGGTTAGTTTTTGGTGTTGGTGGGTAGTTTTCGAGGGACAACAGATGGGGGTTGCGCCTAACAGCTATGGTGGCAATAAAGCGGGAATATACGACAGGTATCTCGCTCGTTCCACTATGGGATCGAACGACGAAGGAGGGAATTTGGGGGGTTTGAGGGGTGATGGATCTAGTGACGAGCGCGGATCATGGACTAGGTGGGAAGTTTTTGTGTGGTAAGTTGAGGAAGTCGTGGTCGGGAAATAATATGGTATGAAGAAATGTCAATGTATTTGGCCACCTTTTAGAGGGAAAATTCAGACGCCTATGTACTTACTATACCTACGGGTCTATGACTGAGCAGTGCGGGCGCAACTGCGACCGTTGTAGGACGTGTGGGTTTCTGCTGCGAGGAAGCAGGGGCTGATCAAGTTCAATCCCGACGTTGATAGCGGGGATTGTTGATTCCATAGCAATCCTCCTTGCCCTCAGCCTGGCAGTTGTCTCCCTTCCGCAGACTGTTTGTAGGATTGTGTTGGAAGGAAGTAGCGATGCAGAAGAAGCCAGCGGGACGGGTAGAATGAGGGTCGGAGGGTGGAGATTGTAGTGGGAACGGAGGTATGGCACGACGATCTGTTTCTCCATGGGAGGTCCTAGGTTCAAATCCCCGGTGATCTCGTGTACGTCGGGGAGGACGGCATCCACAGTAGGGGGAATACCATTGTGGCACTAAAATGAGATTGCTAGGTATCCGCGGTTTACTATGGGCAACTGCCACTGGGCTCGCTGATTGTTATGGCGGACTGTTGCTAAGGACTGCAACAGCTTGGGGGAGTGTGGTCGTAGGAGGCGGAGCGTAGCCTGCTACTTCTGATAAAACTGATGTCGTGGAAGTATAGAGAACTAGGCGGTGCAGCAAGATGAGGCAGCAATACTGGATGACCCGCAGGGTGGTTGTCCCCCATGGGATTTCCCAACTCTGCTCAGGCAGGGTGCCGTTTTGAATTACTGATTGGTTGTCTCTAACAACGAGTTACAGGCTCAAGGTGCTGGGAACCAACACAGCAACACAAAGCAGTTCGAAATATAGAAACTTGAAGAACGAGGGGCTGCTGTTTCGGCAAGGTAGGCGAGTCGTTGTGCTGGTGTATTGGTGTTTGGGAGCCATGCACTAATTAAAACGCGGCCTTTTTGGGTTGCATAATGGTGGCGTTGTTTATGGCGATACTAAGTCCAAAAAGAAAGGAAGGATCTTCACTCCAATTGGGAGAGTCGCCAGGGGTGTCGAACAAATGATGTGCAGTTTGGCCACCATTGCGGGGCCCTCAGGCGCATGAAGGTAACAAGGCCCTCTCCTGCAAGTCTGAGTGCACCCCTCTGGTATCTAAGAGTCTCAAACCTATCTTCTTCTGTCCTTCTTACTCTAAGTTCAGTTTGTTGGTTCTAAGAGGAAGGCGGCAGGCGGGATTGCAACTCGTAGGACCGCAACAAGACTTTATGGGGAGTCATCCCACCGATTGCGGGAGCTCTGCCGGAACTCAGGAGGAGTTCTGGAGGCAGGGAACTGAAAGGTAACCACCCATCTCCCTCTATAAACCCATATTATAGCCCCTATTTGTATTACCCGTTGTATGTTGGCTGAGTGTATTGTGTGTATCCTGTATTTTGACTTGAAGTTTGACTTTCAGGACTTGAGCCAAATTAAATAAAAGAATGTTTGTGCAATCTCAGTTTCAACTTTTGTTGATTGTGTGAAAGGAGATTGTTGAAAGGGAATGCATCTGGGGAAAGGTAGGATGGAAGGTTGTTTTGCATAAGGGATGTCTGGGTCATTAAGGCTGGGAGGTCCTCATTAGTTTGGGGAGACCCAGTGCTATGTTTATTTTGGACTTGTGTGGAGCGTCAGACCATTCTATAAGTTTAGGTGGTCTGATTGCTCTAGAGGTTGGGAAGTCCCCATAAGTTTGGGGAGACCTAGTGTTGTGGATTTGCTTTGAGAATCAGACCATTCTATAAGTTTAGGTGGTCTTATTGCTCTGACTTGTGAGGGATATCTGTGACTGACTTCTTCAGGAGCCAAGTGCATTCTGTAAGTTCAGGTGCTTTGGTTGCCTTGTTTATTTTTGGTTTTTTCTTTGTTTATTTGGTTCTGAACGAGGAGGTTTGAGCCATTCTATAAGTTTAGTTGGCTCAGGCTCTTCCTGCTTTTATTCTGAGGGAGTAAGTTTGACAGAGGGCAGACCATTCTATAAGTTTAGGTGGTCTAGCCTAATGCCTCGCACAAGTTGAATCAGAGAGGAACGAATCAGGCAGAGAGCTAGACTGTTCTGTAAGTTCAGGTGGTCTGACTCAAAGCCTCGCACATGCTGGAACCCAAAGGTTATGATTTGGCTATATTCTATTACTATTTTTATCTATAAACAGGCTAGTCAGGCAGGGTCCCATAAGTTTGGGTGGCCTGACTATAGCCCTATCACAATCTGAAGAGAGTATAACTAAGAGTATAACTGAGGGTAACTTGGGCCGACTGAGCATTGTTTCTAAGGCAAATGACTCAGTTCTACGCCCGCTTTGAAGATTAAGTTCAGAGAGATATATACAATCTGGCTATTAAACAGTTCAGGGTGACTAGAATGACCTAGTCATATGCCCAAAGAAGAGAGAAGTAGTTGTGCCCTCTGTTCTGTGTATACTCGATGGATGGGTCAGGCATGTCCCATAAGTTTGGGTGGCCTGACTTTATGCCTTATGTAAGCTGGGTATAAGAGGATGAATCATTGAAAGACTATGAACTATTGTTTGGTAAACTGACTTTGGGATGGTGAGAGTATTTACCTTTGTGGTTTGGCCTGCATATGACTGAGTGAGGCTACCACTTAATCTGAGTTTCAGTTTGATAGGTAGTTGCTTTAGTTGCTCGCCACATGCTAGCGCAATAGGAGTTAGTTTCAATTCTTGCATTTTCTGAGCTAAGTTTATTTTACTTAGATCAATTTCTGCATTTTCTGGGATATTTTATTATACTTGGTCTTGTATAAATCTTGGAAAGCCACTTTCTCTACGGGAAGCGGTGCCGAAATTTTTAAAAAACCAAGGAGTTAGTCAAATTTTGTCTTTTCAAAGTTCAATTTGTCTGACTTTTGTATATGACTTAGTAAAAATCTGGAGAGTCTCCTTTTCTAAAGGGAGTGCTGCCCAAATTTTTGCTAATTCAGGGAGTTAGATAAAATTGGACCTTGAGAAGTCAAAGTCATTTTTAGATTTTGAACTTGGCTTCGTAGAAATTTTGGTAAGCTACTTTCTCTACGGGAAGTGTTGCCGAAATTTTTGCAAATCCAAGGAGTTAGTCAACTTTTGACTTTTCAAAGTTCAACTTGTCTAAATTTTATATGGCTTAGTTAAAATCTGGGAAGCCGCCTTTTCTAAACGGAGTGCTGCCCAAATTTTTGCTAATTCAGGGAGTTATACAAAATTTGACTCTGGAAAGTCAAAGACCATTTCTGTGTTTATATTCGGACTGATATAAATTCTTAAAAGGCACTTTTCCTACGGGAAGCGCTGCCGAAATTTCCTTAGTTTGAAGGAATTAGATTATGTTTTGACAGGTGGCGATTATGGCGATCCACTCTGTATAGAGGAAATTCTGCCAGGGTCTACCTTTCTTTTGGCACTTGCTTAGAGGTAGACTTAGGCTTAGTTAATTAGGATGATTTGAGTGAGATCGTGATATGGGGATTATTCTCCATGGACTTATAAATTTAGCTTGGGGGATTGACCTGTTATGTGTTACAGGTCTTCTTGGTCGATTCATTCAGGATTTGGGCTAGATTCAGTATGATCCTACGAGGATCATCTTCTGCTATCAGTGATAACAGGTATGTTTGGTGATTCGGACTTTGGATTTGACTGCCTGCGCTCATATACAAATATATGGCTGAGAGGAGCCCCATTGTGATTGTGAGAAGTGATCGTCAGATATTTATAACCCTCTCTATATATGTAAATACATATGTCTTGAATGTTTCGCGCGGCCTATTGGGACCACGCGTAAGGGTTAAACAGATTATATTCTCAAGAGAAAAGGGAGATTCCTTTTATCCTTTGTTTTTTTTGAATTTTATAGTTGGACGTTGTAGTCCTTGGCAATCGTCAAAGTCAAACCCCTTGAATGAAGGAGCTGGTCTCCAGCGCAATAAGAGACGATTGCCACCCCAAGTATGAACCTGTGTACCACCCGCTCTCCGCAGGGTGCAGAAGAGGGTGTGGTTCTCAACCGCACTTGGCGGTTGTCAAGCGTCGAGAGATCATTCTCTCAAGGCGCGTGTCAGCCGACACTTGAGTGTCGAACGCGACCCTCGAGATTAACGAGGATCACATGATTATGGGTACTACATAGTACGCCATCATTGCGACCGCTTGCGTACGCTTGCATTGCGAGTCAATATGAGTTAGCCTTGCATCTGTGAGGTTTTATACTAAGTCCCGCGCGAGACGCCTATCCGATTTCCGCATGGGAGAGTTATGGGATGGCTACCAAGGGACTAGGAGTGTTGTCGCGTTGTTTGTTCTGTGTCGTTCTGTATATGTGCGTGTGCGTGTGTATTTTTATTTTTATGTTCTTTATAGTGGTGTGCGCGTGGCGCGTGGGATGCGTCCTAGTCGACCGGCGACTAGTCGCGCTTGGGACCTCAAGCCCCCAAGATGCCGGTTCGCGTGCGGGTTCGATAGAGGAGTAGTGTCGCGCGTACCCCTTATGCTACAGCGAACGAGAAACGCCCTCGGCTGGTTCACCTTTGCGATTGCAACTGGTCAGCTTTCATACTGTGGATTGGTAGCTCGGCGGGGATACGCCCACCGAAGGGAGGTGACAGCTCCCGTAAGGTGGAGGTAAGTCGTGCCTCGCGTAGGCCCTATCCTGTCGTAGGGGCTCGTGAGAGGTATGGCTGGCACACTCGGTCGGAGCGGCTTGCGAAAGCTCCATTATGTATTCGCGACGAGGAACAGACCAACTCCTGCGTGACGCGGCCGGGAGGGTCCCGTGCTGCCCTGTGCGGTGCCGGACCGATGCGCTCGACACCGGTGCCAACTCCTCAAGCGGCAGCGCCGACAGTTCTGCACTGGTCATAGTCCCAAATGCGGGAACATCAGCCCAAAACGCCGCAACTCTTATTGTCGTACAGTACAGCGGTCCCGTAGTGGACAAGCGGGCGACCACTCTGCCGTCCAAATACGATAGGAAAAGGGATATGACCTCTTGGATTAGCTCCATGCGCTCATACTTCGAGGTATTGCGAACACCGCAGGAAGACCGAAGCATGATCATGGGTACTAATATTGAGCCCGTCGTACGGAGTTTCATCGAAGTCCAAGCTGTTACATCAGGTTATGAGAGGATTGACCTGACCGAGTGGTTGAAAGTGACTCCTGTACGTAGTCTTGAGGACCTCCTCATCACGCAGTATCAAGATAAGCACGCTGCGCTCAAGGCAAGACTGAAGCTTGAGGCCCTCAAGGGCCAAGCGTGGAGGACTTCCATGCAGGCTTTGGAGCAGCACTTGACTGGTCTGTTCACCACTCCAAACCTGGGATTGACTGACGTGTCTTGCATGGATATAGTCATGGGAGTGACCCCTAAAGAATATGTCTCCCAACTAGGACTCAAAGACCATACCACTTGGTGAGAGCTACTGACGGATCTAGTCAACCTAGAAGCCAAGAAACTCGCCAGGCATGTAAAGGCACCCGCTGCAGGTAGAACCTCGCAATGCAAGCAGTACGGAAGCAGCAACCAGCTTGCCCTGCATGAACATCGGGAGGCTGAGGATCGGTCCTATGTGGATGATCTGTCTCTGGATGACGATCTAGAGCCGGACTCCGACGTGGGTTGTTCTACATCAGCCCTTGAGTCTGGCGTGAATACTGAACAAAAAAAAAGTATGCTTCAAGCAAGGGGCCTAATCGTAGTTCGGGTAAGGGAACTATAACACACCTCCCCAAGAATGCAAGGATCCCTGAGAAACCGGAGGATGCTTCTACCAAGCCTTGGGAAGCCCTTCGCATCAGTCAAAAGGAATGGGAAAGAAAATCCAAACTGCGCGTGTGCTTGCATTGTCAAAAGCCTGGGCATGTTGTGCAGGACTGTTATCGAGTGCAGGGAAACAGGCAAAGGGCGTAGAAGAGTCATCAGCCCTCTCTACAACAAGGGAAGTTGAACAGACAGTTGCATGCCCCTCCAAGGAGCCTGAATCTGATCAACAACTTGCTCTTGAAACCCGAACTGATGCTGAATCCAAGGCTGGTGCAGTCCAAGTACTTTACACTGAGCCTTGGGAAGAGACTAAGGAAGTTGATTTCCACTCTCACCTGGAACTTGGCTGTAGCTCAAGCAGCAATGCCGTGTTCAAGGGAGTGTGGAACTGACCTTCTTTAAGTTACTCATTAACCGCCGATACATCCGTGTGTTGATTGATAGTGGCTCAACAACTAACTTTTTTTCTCCTAACGGGATTCGTAAGGCGGGCCTGGGAATGGAACAAGTGGAATTGCAGAACCCTTGTCAGACCCATGTAGGCAACCAAGAGGTTGTCATCTCAACACATGTTGTCAAAGGTGTGTGCGCCACTTTTGACAAGGATCGCACGGTCACACATGAGCTGAACTTTTATGTCATGGACAAGTGTCCTTTCGACGCGGTTATTGGCTTGGGCTGGTTAAAGGCTCATTGCCTAAGGACCACGTGGGCAGATAATCCGTTCGTGGTGCGTGATGCCAAGGGGAACGAGTGTACCGTTCTATTGGACGAGACGCTCGAGTCCCCTGTGACTCTTTTAAGTGCAGGCGCAAGGAAGTTGAGCATGTACATGTAGCTCTTGTAAAACCTCTCCATGTGCCTTCTACTTTTGCTGCATTTTCTACCTCGGAAAGTAATTCGACTTCTACTACCTCTACTTCTGTTCCATCTACTTCTACTGTAAAAAATCAGTCTACTTCTGATCCAAGTACTTCAAATCCGGTTGTAATTGTTGTAAATTCTCGATCTGAGTTTCTCCCTCCTGATGAGGATGATCCTCCACCAGAAGTCCCAACAAACATTCGCCGTCTATTGGATCGATTTCCTGAAGTTCTGGCTGAACCTCGTGGAGTTCCCGAGCGTCCGGTCAAACACAAGATCGAGATAATAGAAGGGAGTGTTCCTCCAAAGGGTTGCGTCTACCGTATGGGACAAGGCGAGTTGGAGGAGTTGAGGAGACAAATTGATGACATGATCGATCGTGGATGGATTAGGCCTAGTGAGTCTGAGTTCGGTGCATCTGTCTTGTTCGTGTCGAAGAAAGGAGGCAAACTCCGGATGTGTATTGACTATCGTGGCCTCAATCGGATCACAAGAAAGAATGTTTATCCCTTGCCACGCATAGATGATCTGTTAGATGCGGAAGGTGGGTACAAGGTCTTCTCCAAGATCGACCTCAAGTCTCGCTACCACCAGATTGAAGTTGATCTGAGCGACTAACACAAAACTGCATTCAAGACACCCGATGGGCTGTACGAATTCATCGTTATGCCCTTCGGTCTTACGAATGCACCAGCCACATTTCAGTACCTCATGGACAAGGTTCTCCGCCATCAGCTCAACAGGTTTGTTGTTGTTTACCTCGACGACATCCTGATTTTCAGCAAGTCCATGGAAGAGCACGTCAGGCACCTTGAGGAAGTTTTGCAGGTCCTCAAGGAGGCACAACTGCACCTCAACTTAGAAAGAAATCTGAGTTTGGAAGGGACAACGTCATCTACCTTGGGCACCGGTTATCTGCAAACGGCCTCGAGCCGAAGGCAACCAAGGTTGATGTCATACGAAAGTGGCCTCAACAGGCAAACGTACGCGAACTGCGTTCTTTCCTTGGTTTGGCCTCGTATTATCGGAAGTTTGTACCCAAATTTTCAGTCATTGCTCACCCACTCTCGAGACTAACAAGTAAGAATGTTGCCTATGCGTGGTGTGAGAAATGTGAGACTGCGTTCCAAGCCTTGAAAGAGGCTTTGGTAAGTCATCATGTGCTCCGCATTGCGGATCCCAACCTCACGTTCGTGGTCACTACGGACGCGAGCCAGTATGGGATTGGCGTAGTGCTGCAAAAAGATGATGGCGATGGCCTGCGTCCGCTCGAATATTACAGCAAACTTATGCCCAGCCACAAGGTAGTTACGTCCACTTATATGTGTGAGCTCTACGCCTTGCGCGAGGCGCTCACACATTGGAAGCACTACCTCTTGGGTCGTCACTTCAAGGTCTACTGAGATCATCAGACCTTGCAGTGGATTAAGACACAAATTGATCTCTCTCCGACACTGACCCGCTGCATGGCATTGATGTTTACAACTTTGAACTGAAGCATAAGAAAGGCTGTTATAATCGTGTTGCTGATGCTTTGTCGCGTCATCCTGAGTTTTTGACTTGCCTTGTGGACTCTTATGACCTCCGAAGGAAACTGAAGGAGGATCTGGTCGAACACACTGCCAAGGATCCGGACCTTAGTCCCATCCTCTAGCAGCTCAAGGGTGACCCTAGTAGTCAGCCTGATTTTCATGAATGCGAGGGTCTTGTATTCCGCTGGTACGGGAAGTTTGATCGCTTGTGTGTACCCAACCATGCACCTCTCCGAACTCATTTCTTGGATTTGGCACATGGTCGGAATGGACATTTCGGCTTTGAGAAGATTTATGGAAGTCTTCTACAGCAGTTTGATTGGCCGGGAATGAAAGGATCTGCTCAGAAATTTATTGTTGAATGTCAAGTTTGTCAAAGAACCAAGGTCCATAGGCATAAGCCGTATGGCCTGCTGAAACCCCTCCCAATTCCTGATGGGCCCGGTGAGTCGGTCTCTATCGATTTCACGGACATAGGGAAGGTGAGTGAGGGAGGATATTCACAAGTCATGGTCATTGTGGATCGCTTTTCCAAATTCCTGAACTTGATTCCTCTACCTCCTCATGCACCAACTGAGCTTGTAATCGAAGAATTTCACCAGCAGTACACTCTGCAGTATGGGCCCCCGAAAACTCTTGTGAGTAATCGGGACACCAGGTTCATTAGTGCTGATTGGAAGGACTTCACCTCACAGATCTATGACATTAAACTCAACAAGACTTCTGGTCGACACCCCGAAGCCAATGGATTGGCTGAGGAAATCAACCAGACTGTTATTCAACTGCTTCGCGCGCTAATTGTTCCCAATCAGAACACGTGGGACAAGGAGTTATACAAAGTGAAAGGGTTGCACAACAACTCCATTCACTCTGCAACTGGTGTGACACCGAATCAGCTGCAATATGGTTGGCAGCTGCGCAATCCTCTCTCCTATTTATTCCCCCAAAGGTCCCCTGGTCTGACGCCCGGCATGCTTGGCTACATTGCCAAGTACGCATGCCTGCTCAAAGCTGCTATCGCAGCAATGAACAAGCGTCAGCATGCCATGATCAAACATGCTAACAAGTCACGCAAAGAAGCGAACTTCAAAGTAGGGAGTTATGTCTGGGTCAAAATGTYTGAGTTTTCCGACGAAGAGGGCGTATCACGAAAGCTTCTTCCATTGTACTATGGCCCTTGGCAGGTTCTTAAGGTGATTGGGGACAAATTTGGTCCTTCGTATGTGATTGACGTGCCTCCTCATCTGCACACATATCCAGTCTTTCATGCGTCCAAACTATTTCCACACATCGATGATGAGACTTTTCCCTTTCGAGATCCTATGATACCCCGTCCTATCGATGACGGCCATGAGATAGACAGAATCGTTTCCCATGAAGGAAGAGGGAGGAACAGACAGTACAAGGTTCACTTCCTCTATCACCCGCTGAACGAGTTTTTCTGGATCGACCGGAAAGAGCTGCTAAAGAATGCTCCACGAGTGGTTAATGCCTATGAACGACAGATCGCTGACGGACAGACTGCTAAGTTTTCTGCAAAACTCACTCCTCACGGTCTTACTAAATCCCTCTTTCTGATCTACGCCTACGATGCATTTTGTACCGACTCTGAATGAGTTACTCGCTCGAAGGGACATCGCTCTTGAGAGGGGGGTAGTGTAATGACCCGCCAAAACACAGACTGAGAACACTGCTGATTTCTGGGATTTGCCACTGGAATGAATGCCTTGCTGAGATTCTCGCATTTTGTTGTGATTCCCATGTCTGTGTGTGTGTGTGCGTGCCTGCTGGTTTGCATGCCTGTCTGAGTGCTTGTCGGCAGAGTGTGTGTGTGACCCGCAAGGGTACTTGTTGGTTGAAAGGCCCCGCAGGGCCGATACTTACCTGTGGCCGTGCCGGACTTTTCTTGGGACACTGCTGAAAATTGGACCGGGCCTGGGCTTTCTTTGTCGGGTACCGGTTGGACTTTTACCGCTCTGTGCCTGTTCGTTACGTTCGACAGGACCTACGATACCTCGACCTTCTATGGACCTTTAGGACCCTACAGACCCTACCTGGAACTCAACTGCCGGGACATGTTAAACGGGGATCATATGGGATTGGGATTGGGACTGGGATAGTTTGGGATCCTAGAACCGGAACTTGGGGTGTTTGCAGTGTGAAATCCTTTCACTCCCCCCGGCCTAATTTTGAAGTCCTCCGAAAATTTTACCAATCTGCAATGTTGATTCCTCAGCGTGCCCTTTCATAATAGGAAACTATATGTGGGGCAGTCTATATTAGTCCATCTCTCGTGAACCGGAAGTAACTTAGAAGCATCAAAGATTGAGTACATGTGCAGATGCAGTGGGATCTCAACAATGTAGGAGGGACCATTTGCATCGCCATGGTCTACACGAACGTAGCAACATTTGTGATATCCCCTCCTTTGGAACAAACTCTTTGGACTTGACCCAAACCAAATTACCTACTGTGAACTCCGACGGTCGACGGTGCTTATTGGCCTGCACCATTTGGTGTTCGGCCCTTCCAAATGTTCTCCTCAACTCGTTGAAGATTATTCCAATACTGAATAACAAATTCCTTTGTACCAGGTGGCAGTCTCCGAATTTGGTCGGGATTCACACAATCAATGGGACGCCTAAGTGGCCAACCCTCATGCAACTTATTCGGTGTGCGCGACGTGCCTGAGTGCACTGAATTGTTGTAAGCGCAAGCCACTTTGGGAAGATGCTCATCCCATTCAATTTGGTCTGGTCTAATATACATATCTTCCATTTGGCCATTAGTCTTCGAATTTCTCCCTGACAACATAGTTAGTCTTGACCCATAGACTTTCATCAGTTGCTGCCAGTGCTCTCCCGTGAATCTACTATCTCTATCGCTAACTATTGTCAATGAGTGTCCGTAGTCCTTGATCCAGTGATTAACGAACTCCATAATGGCTAAGTCGGCCTTGGCCTCTGCAGGCAGCGGAATAAAAACAAATCTACTCAACCTATCAACAACCGCCATGATCTGTTTCTTCCCATTCCTACTCTTAACCTTAGTGTCCATAAAGTCTATAGACACAGAGTCTCCGGGACCTGATGGGATAGGCAACGATTTCAATAGTCCAAGGGGAGGTTGTGTGGAACTCTTGTTTCGTTGACACACTTTGCAGCCTTACATGTACGCAATGCAGTCATGCTTCATACTGACCCACGTGTAGGAGTGTTGGAGATTAGCATAAGTCTTCCTCCAACCGAAGTGGCCCTTGGTGTCGTGACATTCCCGTAGGATCAAACTGCGCATTTCCTTATCATTGTGGATGCACAGCCTATCGTGAACATCGGTTCTCTAAAACAACAACCCTTGAGTCATCCTATAGTTTGGGACTTCGTGAGGTGCAGTCTGCACCTTCTTTATTAGATCAATGTAGACAAGATTATTAGTGTAGGCACCAACTTCGAGCTACATTACTATGGCACCAAAGAAGTCCAGGCGTCTACTTAGCGCATCATCGACGACATTGTACTTGCCTTTCACCAGCTTCATTCGAAGTCAAATTGATCAATCTCCCCAGCCCACCTAGTCAACTCAGGTGTCATCCGGGCCTGGGTTTTAAACCAACACAAGGTTTCATGATCAAAATAGACTTTGAAGTGTCGTCCTAGGAGATAGTGTTGCCATTCATCTAGAGCCTTTCTAAGTGCGAATAACTCACATTCATTAAACCAACACAAGGTCTCATGATTCTAAGTGCGAATAACTCACGTCCATAGGTCGAGGCAGCGATTTTTTCGCTAGGCAATCTGCATGCTAATGAACTCCATTGCCTAGTAACCTTCCCCATCGTATTGCTGGAGTGCAGCGCCAATGCCGTATTGACTCGCATAGCAGTCACAATGAACGACGAGGATGGATGAGCGATCTTCAGGACTGGATGCTCTATCAACGACTTCGTCAATTTCTTGAACGCGAACGTGCAGTCTCTGTCCCAATTCCACACGGCTCTTTTCGCAACAACTTGCACAATTGTGTAACAATGGAATCGACCGCTGCTGGCCGCCCGCGGCCTGTGTGCTGCATGAATTTTTGAGGGCCGGTACCTTCCGGACTTTTCTTGGGATGCTGCTGCAAAAGCAGACTTTCGGCCTGGACTTTCTTTGTCAGGTACCGGTTGGACTTTTACCGGTCTGTGCCTGTTTGGTACCGGCCCGACATGACCTACAACGCCTCGACCTTCTATGGACCTTTGGGACCCTACAGACCCTACCGGGACAGGTGGGACTGGGACAATTTGCAACCCTGGAACCGGAACTCGGGGTGTCTGCAGTGTGCAATCCTTTCATAGAAGAGCTTTTTCACAAATAGCGGGAATTGCGAAGTGAAACGATTTTTTTTTTTCGCGAATAGCAGGTGAAATTGCCCTTACCCCTCTTTCAGGTTCGCCAGGAAACTTACTAGAAGCTCACTCAATAAACAGTATCCTGGAGTCCCTAAGGGTTAACATGTGCTCTGCATGAGGAGGATCCAGGAAGAGTTACGAAGAGGACAGCCCCTCAGTAAGAGCATAGACCCCAGAGGGCTTCAGAGATAGAGCGGATAGGGTGCAGACTTCCAGGGAAACATAAGCAGAAAATAGTCCTAATCACTAGCACTAGCTCCACAGAACAATCGACAGGAGCATAACGAGAGAAATCACTCGCTAGGTTTACGGTTTTAGCCAGGCCAATAACAAGCAGCCAGGCTAACTGCTTCAACACTTAAGGCAAATCAGACAGTCAACTAGCTGAGAGCAACGGACTAATCCAGGCCCTCTTTTTGTTGCGATAGTAGAGAGATACATCGAGAGTTAGGCCAGCAACCGCAGATGAAGTAAGTCACGCGCTATTTCGAAAAAAGGGGAGGATTAAATACTCAATTTCATTTAGGGCTTCAGCAAGGACAACAGCAACTAAACCTGACAGGGGTAGGGGTCTAGCAAGGACTTCTGCAAAAGGGCTCAATCAGCAGTTCTAGCAAGTAAGGAAAATCTGACAGTCAAGGAGCTGAGAGGAGTGGGCAGGCAACAAGTACCGAAGCAGCAGGAAGTCAGACTAGCAACCAACGGCTGAAGCAACGTAGACCAGGCTAACTTTGGCAGGGGTGAGGGGTGGTACATCCTTCCTTCAGGAACTAATCAATGTCGTCCGTCGGGCCTTCTCACCACAAGGGGGAGGAGGTTGAATGAGTACTCGTTGTAATCCTTTCTGACTTGCCGGTGGAATAGGAACCGGACTAATGCTCCCCAGAGTGGAAAAGGAGCCAGAACCTTAAGGTTCTATTTTTGTTGGGAAAAAAAAGTGTTCGATTCGGTCATAATGAGGGTGCATTGTGCTCTTTCTGGTCCGAGTTTTCAGATACCACGGACACTCATTATGACGAAATCAAAACTGAAACATAGGTTGCATAGGTTGCATAGGTTGCATAGGTTGCATAGGTTGCATACAGTGTGTGTGTGTGTGTGTGTGTGTGTGTGTGTGTGTGTGTGTGTGTGTGTGTGTGATAATGAGGGTGCATTGTGCTCTTTCTGGTCCGAGTTTTCAGATACCACGGACACTCATTATGACGAAATCAAAACTGAAACATAGGTTGCATAGGTTGCATACAGTGTGTGTGTGTGTGTGTGTGTGTGTGTTGTTAAAGCACCCCACATTCTCCCTCTCATTTCCTCCACAAATCATAACAAACCATCCATAGGTAAAAAGTATAGATAGAAAATATAATAGAAAATGCAAGGTTGTCTACTTTTGTGTGGTTCAGTGCCAAGTGCGAACACACCCGTCTGCTGTCGAATCGGCACACTCACACATATATATTTATTTGATCCATAAAAGGGTGGAGGACAAGAAGCAACTTACCAAAGACAGAGGACTTCGCCAGCAAAAAGCATTGACCCCATCAATGCAGTAACCCGTCTACTGCAGCAGTCTGGGGGCCCAAAACTGCACCCAGACAACACAGGCCAAACCTGGCCTGCGCCAGGCAGTGCGACCACACACTGCCCCCTGGAAAGTCAAGGGTCAAAGGTGCCGCGCCCAGGCCCTTGGTCGGATACACTCACATGTTCTGCACAGGTACTTAGACAGCATCAAGGCCACAGGTAATTCTGTTTCAGACCAATCTGGGCCATCATCTGCATTGAGATCTCGACGGCTGAGGGAGGCAGCACCTGGGGTCCAGACCCCGCATCAACGCTACAAAAGCGTTGACCTCTTGGCTTGGAAAACATTCTGTCTTGTGTCAATGCTGACTTCACGCATTGACATCGACGCTAGCCCGACGCTGCGACGCTGGCTGGACGCTGGCTCTAATCTGGCAACTGGGCGAACTACGGCGACGCTCTGCGGGCTCGGCATGGTGGCTGGCTTGCAATTGTCTTATGGGCATGCTGAGGTGGCAGCTGCCACGCGCCACCGCTGACGTGGCCGCTGCCACGTATATTATTATTGCTGACGTGGTGAGGCTACGCGACTGGCATTGTTGTTTTGTTTCAACGACATTCGAGAGGAGATCATGACTATGGGGCGACAGTGGATACGTACCTGGTTATCTTGACGTCGACATTGCTCCAGCTTGCTGATGAGGACTGATTCACGTGCCACGTGGCATGTTGTGATAGAACTTCAGATGCGCGTTCAGATTATTGACTATTGAGGTGGTGATCGAGGAGAGCGCCCGAAGCAGAAGTGGGCATTGTTTGTATTTCTCTC